TTGTTTTGAAAATTATTCCGAAATATGTACCACTTGAAAAAGTGATCGCATATGAACATTGCTCAAATTATTCCAATTCAAGCAACAAGCCTTCATCCACAGGCGTTCAAGCAGTTTATAGCACATAAGCAATTAGCCTCACGGTAAGCATGCTTTGATATGGCAACAATCACATGTATGCGATATGGTTAAACGAGTAAAGGCTCACTTAGTACTCCAAGCCAAAATAAACAAAAGAGTTAGAAAAATGCATGATTCCTAACTATGCAATATGACTAATGCAACACATGCGATATGCAATTACTAGGCTCGACTACTAATATGGCATATGAATCAATTTTGATAGCATGCGGTCTAAGCACGTATTCAAAAAAGTATTAAACTAACAATGTAAGTTAGAATGATGAACCAAGCCTCGGTGCATCCAATATAAATGGATGCAAACATGAAGAATGCTAAACAAAACATGATGTCCCCAAAATAACCATCATAAGCTAGTAAATAAAAGGGAAAAAGACGTGAGGTTGGAAGACATACAAGTTGTTACATTGCACTCTCACGAAGGAGAGTCCGAATGAACTAAACTAATTAACTAACTAATTAAAGCTAAGCTAATTATTACAAAACAAATGAAATTAGCTAAACTACTTAACTAATTATTACAACAAATGAATTAACTATTCTGGTTAACTAGACTAATTACAAGACGTAATTGAATAACTAGTTAACTAATTAATTAATTACAACACTTTATAGAATTAACTAGCTACAACTAATTAATTACAACAAATATCTAAGCTAAATATTTAAACTAAACATGCTCGGTATGCGAGGAATGCTCATGTACGTGCTCAGTTTCCAACCGATAAGCCACTATTTTGCTTCCGGAAGGCCTCTGTTGCACAATAGAACACTAATAGCTTCGTCCACTTCCAGAATATCTGTGCTCTGCTCAAAGAATACACTGCTGAATTTTGCAGTGATAGCCTGCCGGCTACTAGTGATGGCCAGCCGACCGGCCATCAAAGGAGGCCTGCCGGCCCTGCTGCCCAGTTCACCTTGTTGCAATAGAGAACAAACAGAGCATGCACAGGGTATTCTCAAGGGTTGTCTGCACAAATCACCCCTCCTTTTCATGACTAAATCAAAGGAGAGACAAGACTTGGTCCACAAACCATCAACTCAAGCAATTTCATTGCATGATGGCTCGTGAACCAAAGTGTGCAATTTCAATAAATGCAACAAAATAAGACTCTAACCTCCTTCATTTCATGGATTGATAAAGGGAAGTGGTGACCTTGGAAACTTGAATCATTTCATCACTAATGAGTATGAAATGCCTCAAGCTTCCATGTGTTCAATTAACGTCTGATTGGACACAAAACTTTTCATTATCATGTACCATTTTTAGCCTCATTATATCATTTTAGATTACCAACCATTCTTTAGCTCATTGAGTCCAATGGTGAGTTTAAGTCCACTAAATGGAAAGAAGGCTCAAACCAAGTGTTGTCTCAGGCATGAAAGAGACATCATACCATTGGTAATGAACCCCTAAAGGGATTAAACCGTTAAGCATGGCATCTTAATTTCATGCTTTAAACAAACAAGTTGTTTGAACCACTTTCAAAGAAAAACAAAAGCCAAGAAAGGAGGGAGGTTGCAGAGATGATTAAGAGTGATCACAAGTATGGAAAGCCATAAATAAATGCAATCAACTCAAACAAAATGGTGTCTAAGGCCTAGAACACCAAACTCATGAGGACAATTACACTATAAGCATGCAAAACAAAGCTCAAATTCAACTATCAACCAAAAACAGTGCTAAAACAATATAAAATAAGTCCTAAAACATTCTGAAATTAAGACAAAAATAGCTAGATTAATATGCTAAAACATAGCTCACACTAGGCTAGTAAGTAAGACACAAGGAGGGCAGGCTAACCCCTCCAAATTTGGACTTCAAAACATGATTTTGGCCAATGAAAAAGCTCTGAAAATCAGTGTTTAAAAGCTCAAGAACAGATAGTGAAAGGATGTGAAACACAAGGGTAAAGGCCTCCAAAACAAGGTGCAAAGAAGGGTGAACCACCCCTCAACATTTAATGGCCTTAGAACCCAAGTTTCAGCCCAAAAATATAGAAGTTTTACAGCCCAAAAACAGTTGAAAAATTGCAAAAAAAAAAAAGAGTAGACAAAGCAAGCAAATAGGTAAAGCCTTATACCTTTGAAGAAGAAAACCAATTCCAAGCAACAAAATCAAGCAAACACACCCTCTAGAGCTCCAACAAGCATCAAGAACACCTCAGCTGAAAGATGAAGAAGTTTGATTACGAGTGTATAGGGAAAGGTTGAAGATTTGTAAGCAAAAGTGTAGGAATTTGCTAGAGAGAGAGGAAAAATTTTGCTCTAAAATTTTTCTCACTCCTAAATGTTTCTAACCTTAAAATAAAGAAAAGGGGTCCTCTATATATTGAAAAACAGTCCCTCAGTTGAAAATATCTATAAAAGGACAGCTGGAACTTTGTGGAAACAACTTGCAAAAATATCTGGGTTTTACACTAGTGGCCGACTGGCCAGAAATGGTGAATTGCCGGCCACCAAAAATCTGCTTCCAGGCCCGACTTCAAACGGGAATATCTTCTTCATTCGGACTTAGTTTTAGGTCATTCTTGAGTCTAAAATGAAGCCCCGGAAGTCTACTTTCCAGTGGTGCAGCCTCATATCTAAATTCTAAGTATGAAAAGAGATATGCCTATTTTAGGGAAGGTTGCTCATTTCTATCTTAACCGAATTGATACCTAACTTCAAACAGTCAGATATCCCTCATCCGGACTTGGCTTTAGGAGATGCTTCAGTTTAAAATGAAGCCCCAAAAGTCTACTTTCCAATGGTGGTGGCCTCATAGCTAAAGTCTAAGTGTAAAAAGAGATAGGCCTAATTTAGTGAAGGCTACTTAGTTCTCTTTTAACAGTTTGACGCCTAACTTCTTCCCCAACTAGTTTTCTTCCCTCCCCTCCAATTTTCTTCAACTCCAAACCTATAAATAAGAGGTTTAAAATATTTTTCAAAGAGTTCAACTGTCTCCCATTTATTTCCATTTTGTCCTTGCTCGGTATACCGAAAAGGGCAACGTTTAAATGAAATGCAAGCCTTAGAACATCGTAGAAACATTTTCGAAAATATTTTGAAAGAGAGGGTTTTGAGGTCTAAAATGATTTTGGTCAAAATTGTTTTGGTCCAAAATGGGGTGTAAGGTTGTGTGGAGCTGAATATCTGTACATGCCGAAAAGTCGAATATAATCTGAAGAAAATCAAGATATATATTTTATTCGGCTCTGTCCTGGATGTTCCCGAAGCCGAATAGATTAATCGGCCATAGAACCAGTTGAACAAAAAGCCGAGTGGGAATTGGTATACGATAGAAGGGGCGAATGAGCAATCATGCGATGGATTAAGAGTGGCCCCGACTCTAGGGCCCAAAAAGTAATATAAATAGAGGAACATCAACCAAAGAGAGGTATGTGAGAATAGACCCAAGAAACTTAAGACACAAGAAAACGAGAGACATATACTAACTTGTCCGTCGGAGTGCTAATTCTGGCACCCACGACCGGAGTGTTAACCCCTTTTTCAAGTGGCAATCAGAGGATCATGAACGTCCTTCAAGATCCAAGAGCATTTCCAAACCACTTCTCTACAATTGGCACCGTCTGTGGGAATACTCAAGTACATCCATGGTGGGTGTAACAGAAGATCCTTCGATAATCGCTGACGAAACTACGCCAAGAGACATGCTTTGACTGGAGAACATCGGCATACGACGGGCCTTAAATTTCGACTCAATAGCTCAGACCACACCCTCAACTTCAATGCATGAGACAATGTAGACAATTATGGATCAAGCAAATGAGCAGCGGTTGGAGAACATGATGGTTGAGAATGAGCACCTACGCCAGCAGGCCGCATGCTAAGACCAGGGTCGATCTTTTGGAAAGAAGGATGGTTGACGACGTCGACTCCGAAAATGCGATAATTACAATGATTCTGACTCATCATCCCTGGAGCCCAGAAACAAAGGATGCGTTGAGGTATCTAGCTCATTTGAAGGAAGTCCATATGTACGGCATAAACGAGGGAGAAGCGATGATTCGGATGAGGAAGATAAACACGACTCGTTCGTGCGACGAATTGCAAGGGCTGTGCTACCCAAAACGTTCAAGGCATAGTCGTTCACCCTATACGACGGAAAATCTGACCCCATTGATCACATTCGTCATTATAAGCAAGCAATGACGCCCCATGTTAACGGCGAAGCCCTCATGTGTCGAATATTTCCAAGCAGTCTGGGACCACTGGCCATGAGGTGGTATTACAAACTAGAGTCGGCATCGATTAAGAGCTTCCACCAACTCCAAAAGTCATTCAGGGTGAGATTCATCACTAATGACGTCTAGTCGAAGCAAGCCGATTCTCTCTGGGCCATGCAAATTAAACTGGGAGAAACTCTTCGTGAATATTCGGCTCGCTATTGGGAGTGCTTTAATTTGGTAGATGATGCTTGCAATGACTCCATAGCCATCACTGCCTTTAAGATGGGATTGCATCTTGATAGTCCCCTCTACAGTTCATTAACTAGACGGCCCCCCAAGACCGTCTAGACGTTAATGAAAAAGGTTGAAGAATATTGCAAAGTGGAAGACGATGCGCTACGGGTCAAAGCTGGACGTAAAGCCGATGAGATGGCCATATTAGGAATTGTATAGCTGATTAGTGTTGTGCCATCAACAAGCCCCAAGCGGTGAAATCAAGCTAAACGAGATAAAATGCATGACTCGCGCCGATCAAACTACCAATGTTCACAACAAGCTAATGAACAGTATCAAGTGGATAGTAGGTGCACAAGGCGCTCAGGCAAGAAATACAAGGAGCTAACATAGCCGATTAGTAAGATTCTATCAAAAATTCAACACCTTTCGTTCTTCAAGTGGCCGCTCAAGATGACGGGACCTCCCGATGCGAGAAGACGGGATAAACGGTGTGAGTATCATAAAGACTACGGTCACGACACCGATAATTGTTATGCATTAAAGGATCACCTGGAAGCATTGGTGCAAGACGGCCGTCTTACACAACACGTCCGAAAGAATAATTCAGCAAATACAATAGCTCTATGGCCGGAGTCACCTCATCTTGGTGTAATTCATAGGATATACAGCTTGTCGGCGTCATCTGAGGTGCATACAATTCAGTTGCAATCTAGCCCCCATAGCCCAATGACGACGGCAAAACGACCCCATGACATTGGAAGGATTAGTTTCGATGATAGTGACTTAGTTGGAGTAACTCATCCCCACACCAATCCCCTCGTCATTGAGCTAGCATAAACAGATTCACCATTGAGCGTGTTCTCATTGACCAGGGTAGCACTTCAGAAATAAAGTATTACAAAACTTTCGTCAAACTTTACGTCACCGATTCGGACCTGTCTCCGACTGATTACACGTTATTCGGCTTCAATGCTAACTCGGAGTATCCTTTATGCAAAATCACGCTACCAGTACGGTCCGGCACCAGATCAGTAGATGTAGAATTTTTGGTTGTCAAGCTTGGCTCACCGTATAATCTCATCATCGACAGAACTTGGTTACATACAATGCAAGCCGTGCCAAGAACCTACCATCAACTGCTTCGTTTTGCAACTAAGTGCGGTATCAAACAAATTCACGACTCTCAGAAATCGGCATAGGCATGCTATCTTTTTGTTATGAAGAGGCTAAGGGAGCTGGAAGTACATTCAATTGAGGTACCAGATAGGGAGAGCCTCGAAGACGTTGGGAGGATCCCAAGTGAAAAGGCAACAGAAGCCCTGGATTGGGTCGAAATTAACGGAAGTCCTGATAGGTTCTTCATGATCGGCGCTTCCTTGGATAAAGTTGAAAAGCAAGAGTTAGTACCTATAACAAGCCCGCGGGGGGGGGTGTTTGCATGGTCACCATACGAGATGCCAGGAGTGGATCCATCTGTGGCCCAGCACTGCTTAAACATTGACCCGAAATGTAAGCCAATTATTCAGAGAAGTCAGCGGTCAGCCGCGGAGCATACCTCGGCCGTTGTTGAAGAAGTTGATCGGTTACTTGATGCCGGGCAATTCGTGAAGTAACCTATCCCACACGGTTGTCCAATATTGTGGTTGTAAAGAAGAAGAATGGCTCTTGGCGTGTTTGTGTGGATTTCACGGACTTGAACAAAGCTTGTCCCAAGGACTGTTTTCCCTTGCCCAGAATAGACCAACTTGTAGATGCAATGACACATTATCAACACATGAGCTTCTTGGATGCCTACAGGGGTTACCATCAAATTGCCATGCATCTGGAGGACTAAGAAAAAACCGCATTCCTCACCCTAAGAGGAACCTACTACTATAAGGTCATGCCTTTCGGGCTGAAGAATGCAGGGACAACTTACTAAAGACTAGTGACTGTCATGTTCAGGGAATAACTCGACCGTACCATGGAAGTATACATCGACGATATGGTGGTCAAATCCAAGGAAAAGCACGCCCATCTAGTCGATTTGGTAGAGACATTCGACATCCTTTGAAAGTACAAGATGAAATTAAACGCCTCAAAGTGCGCATTCGACATCAGATCCAACAAATTCCTTGGCTATATCGTTAACCACCGTAGAATCGGAGCTAACCCGAGGCAAATAACGGCAATTCTAGAGCTTGGATCCCCTCTGTCAATCAAAGAGGTGTAGAAGCTGATGGGAATGGCTGCCACACTCAACAGGTTTATTAACCGTTCCACCGATCCTTGCTGACAATTCTTTTACACACTTTGGCAAGGCAGAGCATTTGAATGGACCCCCGAGTGCCAGGTTGCTTTGGACGGCTTGAAGTCTTATCTCCAATCAGTACCACTCTTGGCAACACCTAAGGCAGGCGATCTGTTCATTTTGTATCTGGCGGTATCTAACCGGACAGTCAGCGCCATATTGTTAAGGAAAGAACTTGGGGAGCAGTGACCAGTTTACTATGTGAGCAAAGCAATGGCCGACGCCGAAACACGTTACCTTCCATTGGAAAAGCTTATCCTTACTCTCGTCATGGCTGCAAGAAAACTGATGCATTATTTTTAGGGACATACCATTAGGGTACTAAGGGTGTGTTTGTTTGGACGGACTGGATAAGGGGTGATTGTAATCCATCATACTGTTAGTCTCAGGATACATTGTCCCTAGACTATTTGGTTGGATTGGATTTGTATCCTATGTTTGTTTAGTCATGGGATTAGATGTCTGGATTGGACTTTTTTAGTGAATCCAGTGTTTGGTTAGATGGACTGGATAAGGATAAATGTTCAAAAGACTATTTTACCCTTGTAATTTATAATTTTTATTTAATATATAATTTTAAAATTGTAATCTATAATTTATAATTTAACAACTCTAAAAAAATTTAATTTATAAGGCCATAATTTTTAATTTATTATTTTTAATTAAATTAAATTTATAATTTATATTTTTTATTTAATATATAATTTTAAATTAACGACAATAAAAAATAATTTTATTTAATATATAAATTAAATGTCAACAACAACTAAAAAAATTTAATTTATAAGGCCATAATTTTTAATTTATTATTTTCAATTAAATTAAATTTATAATTTATATTTTTTATTTAATATATAATTTTAAATTAACGACAATAAAAAATAATTTTATTTAATATATAAATTAAATTTTCAACAACACTAAAAAAATTTTAATTTATAAGACCATAATTTTTAATTAATTATTTTCAATTAAATTAAACTTATAATTTATATTTTTTATTTAATATATAATTTTAAACTAACAACACTAAAAAAAATAATTTTGTTTAATATATAAATTTAATTTTTTAACAACACTAAAAAAATAATTTATAAAT